AACATGGGATGTACGAACTTTACTACTTTATATCATAATCTTGCTATAAAGATTCTAAAAAGGTCAATGTAACTACTGTAACAGTAGGGAATTTTCAAGATTTGACGTTTTAAATGGAATTTAGCTAGTGCCAGTTTGTTTTTACAGTGTTTTTAAGTGTAGTATTTTTTTTTTCATAATCAAATATCTTTTGTGAATTATTATTTGGTAAAAGTAATTCATTTGTATTAGTAGATTGGTATAATAAAGTACCTGTAACTCTGTATCCTCTGTGTCATCAACCTGCGCAGCTTCTGCTGCACGTTCCATTACTTTGTCAAATGGAGGATAAATTACCGGATTACTACTATAACGTGGAAAATCAACATAAATTGTGGTACTTGACTCTAAAGTGGATTGGACGCTACGGTGCCAATAGGGTTCAACAGATCTGGTGGAAGCTCTTCTGTTACTGGCCATGCAAGCAATTTTTGGGTTCCCACACACAGATGATTGCGATAGTCAAAAAATGGAGTATTCACCCAAGCTAATGGCACAATTTCCTAATAAAAAAAAATAATAAATGTTGTATTATAATTTCATACTGGTTTCAGTTGCTGTGGAAAAACGCAAATTGTACACATCCAATTGATTGCACATGCATGAGGTCAACTATTCTATAAGATCACACATACCACACCACACAATCCGAAACAAAGATTATGCAAATCTGATTGTGACTGTACTGTCATGGATTCAAGTACGTATTCAGACATGTATAATTTAAAGAAAAAAAAACATTTTCAAAAAACAATGGTTGCCAGTCAACAATTTTGAATCCAGTCACAAAATAAATCATCATGGACAAATATCTGAACATGTATAATATATGAACCAAATTTGAACGAAAATCGAAAAAAATAAAGATGGCTGCCGGTCTACCATTTTGAATAGAATCACTAAACCACAGCAAGTATATATTGTGCAACATAAAGTACTCAACTATGTGGTTTCGAGCAGAGTTTTTCATTTGAGCTACAATTGTGTTGCCTACTCACCTTTTCTTTGCCTTTTGCTTTTTTCCCAGTTTTAACTTTATATGTGGCAGGAGTTTGATTCGCTTTGCGTCTCCTGTCGTATATTCCGTAAATAACAAGGCATAATCTGGACATTCTTGGCAAATCGCAGACCTCCATATCAAATTCCAACTCTTTGTTCCATTCCAGTATCGCTCCACTGCTATCGCCAGTGTTGAGAATTCCGCATAGACACTCTGAACCATGGTAAACACCTACACGAACACACACCTGTAAGTTGTATAAACAACAAAATCTTGTCAATTTCAGACAAAATTTAAAATTACACTTATAGGCAAGTTGACATTTTGGGATTTTGTTTTATGTCCATTGCCACTTGCTACATCAACTCTGATTGGACGCAACTTTTACAAGTACAACAAATCAAATTTATTTATTTCACGCCGGGCAAATATTCAACCTCTCAGTAGAATCACACACAGGTTCACTGAGAAAGAGAGGTTCAAATCAATTCACAAAACAGTGCAAATCGGACCATGTGCAGATCCACAAAATTTTACAAATTCTAGACTAGCCCCTATATACATGTATCTACACACTCCAAACACGCCCTCACTTCTGTTCCTCTTGTTCGGG